ACTGGGAAGAAGTTCTCATTTTCAATGAATCCTTGTCATACTTTACAAGTACACAAGARACAGATCCAAATATTATTATTTTCTTTGAGGTATATATATTAAGTTGGTTTGAATTCTTTATTTTATGAATAGTCATATTTGTTAACTAATAATAAGTGTGTTATAGGTGAATAATAGGTCTGTAGGTAGAAATGTTGTTTGGGGGAGCCATTGTAAAAAGAGTCAAACACAGTCTGTAATATATATTAAAGATGCTCTGATTCTAAATTTTCAGAGAGTTTGATCATCCTCTAGGAATAAAAATGAACAATGTTGTTCCTCAAATTCCCTTCTTTTTGACTTKAAGGCATACAGCATACAGACTTTCCTATCATTATAAATATTGATTGGAATGGGATACCAAAATTCAGTGATCCTTAAATTGATTTTTCCATTCAAAACATTTATCATAAATGTTTGTATTTTATATTTTAGGTTGTTGATTTTTTAAGCATAGCAGCATCAAGTAGACAAAAAGGCAATGATAAAGGGTGGTATCAAATTGCATGGGCATTTCTCAAGGTTATTACTCTCTATAATAAATAAAAACTGTTATTATCATTCATTTATATCTTTCATTCTATCTACTTTTTTATCCTTTCATTCAATGACAGGCTTCTGTGATTTCTATCATTGCACAATCATCTGTTTTATACAAGACATAGTTGCCTTAATTTTCAAGATAACAAATGGAACCATGAAAGTGATATTTAATATTATTTCCTCTATTAATGATGGATGTATTTTGTTAGGTTGTTGGTGGAAATGGTAACATCAATATTGACCGCAAAGTCAGACTACAGTTGTTCCATCCATGTAGGTCCATGTTTCGAACAAAACCATCGGATCAACTTGAGGTATAAACAATTCAAACATTTTTTATGAAATATTATTGAGATCATTATATGCTCCAGAAATATATAAGCATAAACTTAAAAGTTAAACTTTGAACTGAGAAAAATAATCCTAAAAATGTTGCATGAAACATTTTAATGRTCTTAAGTGATGAAACAATGATTTTGACCACCATGTCGGGTCCAAGACAGTAAGTTTACTAACTTTGCACCATTATAAGTTCCTTTATTTCAATTGCCAATTTCTCGTACTAGTTACATTTATTTACTTCTAACTGTTAGTAGAACTAACATTTAATTGACATTTAGTGACTTTTTGCATACAGTTTTTTGTACTTATTAACTTCAATTGTCAATTTGTTTGAAGATTTTTTATTGGTGGAATCAATGCCGTCGTATTCCCTACCCATCKACATTATATGTAACATTAAAAGGGGTTGCCCCACCCAAGAAGATAGAGCCAGCACTCCGTTCAATGTATGCTATCCAACAGGTCAGTTGCATATTCTTTTTATATTTGAAATATAAATTGCTATTGCTTTGTGTCTTTTTTTATTAATTCGCTGATTGATCTCTTTTAGGAGAAGGGAAGAGTTACATTTGAAGAGCTGACTAATGATGCTGAAAGAAGAGCGTATGGAGTGAGGTGAACTCTTTTTCTAATGTGCCACATATTCCTCAGAAAGATTGATAGGACGTTTGCAGCGATGCTATTTTGTGCAGCAAAGCAYGATGGCAGTTGTATTCCTCATTCTTTTTCCATGTCCACTAAAACAGTCCCGGAAAAGAAAGCACAAAAAAGCCAGGATTTTTAGGAGATATTTTAGAGTCTATAATAAGTGTGAGAGGATGGGACTACAACTACCATTCTGCTTTGCTGCACAAAATGGTGTTACTGCACATTGCCTATTGAACAAAATATGTTAATGACAAAGAGGATTATATTGTCTGGYTACATTCATTTTATTTCCCTTTGACAGAGATAACAAAGAAAATGATGAACAAGCACCAAACTGGACAAAGTTACCAGGACAAGTAAAGAAAAAAATGCTATTTATATTTCTACTACTACCAGTACTTTGAATAAGTCTGTTGATCTCTGCAGGTGAATCGTATCCCCAACAAGCAATTGTTGTCCCTTCAGTCAGGAAGAAGAGGTTGTTTTGTGGTGAAGTTTTCACACAATGGAAGGTCAGTAGCATAAATATATTTATTTGTGCATTAGGTCAAATCAAACAGTCTCAAAACCTTCAAATATCACAGCACATCCATATTGTCATGTATATAAGAAATGCCAGCAACAAAGGTGACCTTGCTGTATGCTAAATAGCATCARCTAAAGTATGATTTAAAATTAAAGTCAACTTGTTTACTAGGTACCTGGCATGTGGCTGTGCTGAAGCTGATAGTTTCCCTGTAATTGTTTATGAGGTAAGCCTTAGTGCGAGTTATTAYTACTAACGTCTTTTTAACTTCCAAATGTAACCGCAATATTGACATCTTTTTTTATGTAATGAAAACAAGATTTGATCGTTATATATTATAATTTGTTATTTTTCCACTATAAAATTGTATTTTTGTAGATTCCTTCTGGTCAGTGCAGAGGACAGCTTTTTGGTCACTTTAGTATTATTTACAATTTATCCTGGTCTGCTGATGACAAAGAATTAATATCGTCTTCTTCAGATGGAACTGTCAGGTAATAGTCTTCATTGCACCATCTTGTAGGGTAGCAGTGCTTTTGCATGTAAGTCAAGTGAGTCAACTGTTGGCCATGGAATGACAGAAAAACCACCCTGCAATACAAAGCTACAAGCCGCTAGCGATAACAGCCACGAGGCAAACTAAGGCGATTACGCATGCGCAAATCACACACCGCTGGCCAGCACTCCACTCAAGTTAACTTTGCTTAAATATTAACCACATTTCAAATCGCTTACAATATTATTTTTCCAGTGCAAAATTAGATCTGTGGTTGTCACACTTCAATTCAAAATATTCAGTAATTTTTATTTTCAAGAGGGAGAAGGGAACTGTGAAGAAGACCAAAGTCCAATAGGGCATTACTTCAAAGAATACTGACAGAATGTTGTACTATAATAATTATAATTCTGTATTCATTGATTCATTCTTTTGGAGTCTAGGCATCCATTCATTTCTATTGTAAAAATCTATATTTCTTCAGAATGTGGGACATCCACAGTATGATGACAAGTTTCGTTAAAGTGTTTCCTCATCCTTGCTTTGTCTACTCTGCYGAATATCATCCAACAACATCGACAATTATTGTAACTGGTGGTTATGACCGCCTTATTAGAGTATGGACCAGTGCATGCGACGGTATTAATGGRCAGGTAACTAGTAGTTATTATAATGAAATGTTGTCATTATTCTCCATTAGTAATGCCGCAGCTACATGAGTGATTTTTAGCTTGCGCAGGCGATGTGATTTCCAGGTACAGTGAAAGCTGAACATCAAATTTGAGCTGTTTTTGTACATATAACCAGTCCTTTATGGAGATTCAAATAAGTATTTATGAGGATTTTTTAATCGATACAGCGTTTTCGCTCGTGTAACCACATCATCTTCTGGTGATTTTGAGAAAATCGAGTCACCTGCGCAAGCAAAAAATCCCTTGTGAAGCAGCGGCTTAATGGAGCAGATTTCATAAGGGCATCCAAAAACTATTGCATGCTTATTGCTGTGTCAATGTTTGAAGCTTTAGTCCTTCCTAGGTCAGTGTACCATTTTGTCTTAATAGGCAGGGTGTAATGCCCTATCCTGTCTGTGCAACAAACATTCCTAAGACAATTACTCAATAATTACTGTTATCAAACTTAACTACAATATCATAATTGAATTGTATTCTATATGATACAATTACTTACAAAATAATGATTATTTTTAAACAGCTTTTACGGGAGATGGAAGGCCATGTTGGATTTATCAACTGTGTGTGCTTCTCACATCAAGGTTAGAAATGTACTGTCAAAACATAGCACTGATAAATGGGCATGTACAATATCAAAACACGTTCTTTTACCAGACCCTCCTCAGTTTCCTAATGGAAAAAGGCTCTGGTTGAAGGCAAACCGGAGAACCAGAATCTGGGTCATGTGATGTATGCATACTGATGGTGCATTGTAATTTTTAAACCAATCAAATTAAAGCTGCATTCGTGTCCAATGAGAGGCTTCGATTTTCCTTTAAGAAATGAGAATGGTCTGGGTACAAGAATGAATGTCAATGAAGTTCAAATTTAATCAGTCAAATTTAGCTTTAATACAAATTTTTTGACTACTGTAATTTTGATATGGACATTGTTCATTGAACAGCTCTTATTTTTTTGCCCAATTAGTGCACAACATACAAAATGAACTGACAGTTGATTTGGTTATAAACAGGAGATCAAATGTTCTCAGCTGATAGCACAGGCTCCATTATAATGTGGCAGACAGTCAGTGCAAAGAGAAAAAAGAAAGGGCCATCAGGTGACTGTAACCAATATTACTGAAATTGATGTGTGTCTGTATGAAGGGGAAAACATTTTTTCCTATTACAATATTATTAATAATACAGCCTTTTGCAAAAATTATGAGAATTTTTAAAATATCTAAATATCATAATATCAAGTGCATGATGGGTAATCCCCGCGATGCCCTTAGTACCTTGTCTTGGTAGTTTAGTTTTTTTTGGCGACGAACTTATCCGTAGTTCTGAACATTTTCTCGATGTCAACAATGAATTATTCTAGCAAACCCGCGTGTTCCGGACGATATATGGATATGTATATTATGATATTTAGATATTTAGACAATTCTCATAATTTTTACAAAAGGCTGTACATGTAATAATATAATATATGATAATATCAATATCAAAGAGTCATGATTGGAGAACGTTAGGAAATTTCCCTCAAAAATGATAATTTAAGGTGATTGTAGTATTACCAATAATGACAGAAAACCATACAATGGTGATGTGGTATGACCTTCTTAGCCAGTCAATATTAACATGATTATAATATAACATATTAATTTGTTACATTTGTATTTATTTGTGAAGATTATGTCAAAAGTTGGACAATGATACAACAAGTCAAGGAAGAAGAACTAATGGTAAAAAAACAACAATGTTACATGTAATTAATACTGTCAAACTCTTTTATTATGACTGCATTATACGATAAATGGCAATGGACATAATATATTTTTACTTTTAATTATAAAATTCCTTGAAAATGATGTGCATTTTTCAGGGTAATGTCATTAACTCTCTGGAGCTCCATCCAAGTGGRCTAAAGCTTCTTGTACACACTAGAAACAGTGCACTATGTATGCTGGACTTACGGAGGTAAATGACAAAACATAATAATTATTGCAAGGCTATCACCCCACTAAGTTTAATAGAAAATTTGAGAAGAAGAAGTCATGGACATCATGCACTTTTTCATGGCATTAAAACTGAACATCTACAGCCACATTGGTGGCTAATTTAACCTCTTTATAGCTCATATTTGTTTATATTTGTCTCCTAAAACTTTGTGTTTTTGTCTTCTCAGTTCTACTGTAGTTAAACGCTATCTTGGAGCATCAAACTACAAAGAACATATTCACAGCACAATGAGCACATGTGGAAGCTTTGTGTTTTCTGGATCTGAAGATGGAGTTGCCTACGTATGGAATGTTGAAACAGGTAAGTATAGTAAATTATGTTTAGCTAATTTAGGAAATATTCACCCTATCCCCTTGTCTTGGTTATTCACACTATAATCTGCAGCAAAACAGTACCTTGTATTCACTAAATAAGGAATAAGAAGGTCTGTTTTCCATGTATGCTCTATGTCATGAGTGCTCTATATTATGAATACAATAGTCTTCTTCAGTGTCCTCTATGCCATCTTGAGGCAACCATGCCTTTGAATTGCAGTCAAGACAACCAGTGAGCTTG